CACGTCCCAGGGGCGTTTCTGGTCCCAAAAGGCATTTCTGGTCCCCACCTGTCGTTTTGCTCCTCAGCACAACTTCCTAAAAATGCTGCAGGATTTCTCAAACATGCATGAATGAGTCAGAGCAAGACTTTGGGCATGTTTTTAATGAGAGTATAACATTATAACATGATATAAAACTCAAAAAAGTTGATTTTACATGATGTTGCCTCTTTAATCCTGCCAGCTAATGGCTAGTATTTCAGGCCAGTTACTCAGAAGGAAGGGGCKGCTGTGGTAGAGTGGTTAGGGGAGTTGTCCTGGAACCGGAAGGTTGCCGGTTCGGTCCCCGTCCAGTCGACTCAGTCGTTGTGTCCTTGGGCAAGACACCTTACCTGCCTTGCCTACTGATGGTGGTCAGAGGGTCCAGTGGCGCCTGTGTATGGCAGCCTCGCCTCTGTCAGTGTGCCCCAGGACAGCTGTGGCTACAATTGTAGTTTGCCATCATCAGTGTGTGAATGTGTGTGTGAATGGATGAATGTCTGCAGTGTAAAGTGCTTTGAGTGTCYTGGATGGATAGAAAGGCGCTATATAAGTACAGTCCATTTACCATTTACCAAATACTTTGATACTCCTGCAGGCTGCACCTGATGTACTACAGCTTGCTACTATGTTTTACTGACYWTGTAGGAATTGTTTCAAACATGAAGCACCATGAAATTTGGTAGGTTAAACTCCTTTTAAGATATTTTCATCTTGTTCCGTCCGGCCTTGTTTCGTCTAGCCGCTAGCAATTAAGCTCCTTTTTYCCTGCACTGAGGTCAGACAAAGCTGTCTACCACAGGTGCAATGTTAATTGTTCATAGTCTGTCCACAGAAACCCACTTAAAGATTCAAACTTATTCTTTTTGTTCCAGTTTAGACCTTAGAGATGTTAATCTCTTGAAAAAGTTTGCAATTTCCTTTTACAGCCTCATCACTAATAATAACAAAAATATAATTATCACCAGAGAATTCACATTTCCTGTGAAAAGGCAATATGAATGCTGATAGCTAAAAAAAAAGCTGAAACTAGCCTAAAAGTAGCTTTAAAAAGTAGCCAAGGTAGTTGAAATTGGGACAAAGTAACTAAA